TTGTAAATCCATTTTGTCCATATGGAAATAACCATGGAAATACTAGTTCTTCTATCGGAACAGATATTTTTCCTAAAATATTTATTGGTGGTGATTTAGAATTATTCATTGTGTATGTTTGGACATTTTCAGGTTTTGCATTTCTTCCACAAATAATATCATTAGATGAAACATCTGGAACATTATGTATTACTGATGTAAATCCTGAGATTTGAAATTCATCAACAATATCAAGATTCATTTCAGATTGATCTAAATCCATGTATGGAGAATTTAGCTTAATTGTAACATCTTTGTAAAGTGGATTATTATTTTTTAGCCACAAAAGTGCATCATGTACTTTGGAATAAGATATTGGCAATTGTACTGAATTGCTTTCTGAATCTTTGATTATCATAACAATATCTGAACTTGGTCTTGGTAGTTCATTCCATTGCTTAGCTAAATTTATTGGAAAGTGAATTGCTTGTCCACTCTCGCCAAATTGACCACCAGGTAAAGTTATAATTGTCAAATACATTTGGATTTGAGAAAGCATTCTTTTTTCCATTATATTAAGACGTGATATTTGCAGTGGAATAATTCCAGGATCAAAGTGATTTATTGAGTAGCTCAAATTTAATGGTTGATTTTTTTTGTAACATGTGAAACATCTACTGCAAATGACATTTTTACTGGATGTCAACTTTACTTCATCTGGAAATAACAATCGCTGGCAAAAATGACAAGACTGATGAGGAGTTAAATTGATGAAGGAATTAAATGCACTAAGATCATCCATGTATTTCTTCTTATCTTTACTCGAATTTTTTGTTGTTTTCTGTAGCAAATAATGACTTTCCTCAAGTTTRTGCTTCTTAGGTTTTGAATTTTTTAGAAATTGTTCTTGATTTCTTTTCAAAGGGAATTTGTTATTTGAATCATCAACAGAGTTGTTCTTGGATTGATCATATTTGTATTGTAGTTCTGATTTGCAATTTGTCACTCTATTTGTACATAATGAAGCTGCTGGGCTATTGCATAGATAGTTAAGACATGGAACAAAGTGATTTGGCCTCCACAAATTATTAGTTTTGCCTGTTGTTGATGTCCACATAATTGTTTTTGTGATVTTTGCTATCTGAGACCGAGGAGAAATAGTTCTATTTAAAYCATATCTTACAGTACTATTGTCACTAATTCCAACAGATGTACTGGGATAAACACTTTGAATGGATACTCCAAGTACGGWTGCTAGTGCTATGACATGCCAGAATCCTACCCAAGTATTGAGATTTATGGCTTGTGTTATGGAGTTTAACAAAATAATTCRAACATTTGAAGTCATATGCATATTAAGGTAGCTTAGTTCATCTGAGGCAGAATAATTTGCTAGCCAAAATAGAAGRTGGTTATCTTCTGAGTTAAACATTGAATTTGTGTTTAAGTAGTACTCTAAGTTTGTTAATAGTTCTATGGTTGTCCTTACTCGTAATTCTACATGATGCGATTCATCACCATAAACAATAACACTTCCACTGCGGAATAGACAGTTGCCATCCCCAACWACCATTTTAGGCKATAAATGTGATGGTGCATCTTGAGGGTATATAGATTGAGCTACCCAATCTACATCACTATAACTTGTTAATTGTCCTCGAAACATTGATGGATGGCATATTTGAGGTAATGTTGTCAATTGATTGTGTGCTGTTTCTATAAGCTGTGACTGTTGGGTGCATGAAGTGAGGCACTGTAATACACTACTGTAGTAGAATGCTTGATCCATTTTAGATCAATTACATAATAAAATTAGTACTTACTTACGGAATTCTAAATCAAGCTATATATTCCCTGCAGATGACACTGTAAAAAAATAAGACAAAGTGTAAACGAAGGCTAGTAATGAGCTCTTGGGATCAGGGATCAGCATTATTTCTTGGGCTATTTTGGGATCAGGATCAGATGAATTTAACCTGGGATCAAAGGATTTTCAACTGGGATTGGGATCAATGATCATTTCTGGAAGGGGAAAWATAGAAAAATATATAGAAAATAGTTTTTCTATGTAAAATGAGAATGACCTTTTATAACACTTTTATAGAAAATACAGCATAAATAATAAACAAAAGACGATAGATTCAAAGACGACATCAGAACTCTCGGTATCGTTTTCAGCGATTTTACTCTGGAACAGGGRRATCGCTGGAACATGGTCAGGCTTTTGAGGTCCGAGCGGCACACTCCCACCCGAGTTGGGGGGAGGTCTTCCCCCGGGCTGACAGCCAATAAATTATACTGATCAATAAACACACAACTATTGAYATCCTCCCCCCGGGCTACAGCCAATCAATAAACACACAAGTATGTCGCGACTGCACAAGYCCATGTCTAGTTTTGCTTGAGTCTAAGAATTTTCGCACGCACTGATAAAAAGTCTTTAATTTTACCAGTATTGAAACAAAAATTACTTCTTTTTTACTTTAATCAAACATTAAAATTCAATCAGAAAATAGAGCATAAATAATAACACAAGAAAATAGATTCAAACACATCATCAAGACGTGCAGACAAACACGCATTTCTCCGCATTTCAAGCAAGTGTGTTTCTATGCAAAAAAAATAAGATGGCAGGTAATCGGAGCACCTTAAGAATGACCTTTACAACTTTCTACAACGAAAACGTTAAGGAATGCATGTTATTATTGATGACACTTCGTTATATTTTCGNCGCAAAAAGCAGGCAACCTTCTATTGTTCTGCGGCAATTGCAACTTCCCCACATACGAATGTCTTGGTCTTCACACTGATTATATATCAACCTATGGGTAAACACATTTTTAAAAATAAAATGTGAATAAACTCTGTTTTGAAACAAAGTTTCTTTTGTATTAAAAGATCTTGTCCAATCATAAGCACTCAAAACAATAGCCAAAAATGCTTCTAATTTGCTATGTTCCCACATAGAATTGCTATTAATATTAAAGCTAAGGAGAGCTTTTATATGAAGTCGGAATCAGATATCAAATAAAATATTAAAAAATGCGCTTACTTTTGAAATTATGTCAAATTTTAATGTTTTAACCAATGAGATGGATGGAYYATACAATACAAAATTAGCACCTTCATGCATTCCATTGCCGTTTGTTTTCCTGCTTCTTACTCGGACCATTACTTAAGCAAAATCTCCCCTGTATTTGCTATACGGGTATGTGCCGCTCGATAGGGTGCCTTTTTCGGAGCTATACAAGTCTGAGATAAGGTATCATTTTTTGCCCATTTTTCTGGGATAGCGTAGTCTTTTTGTCTGGGATAGGGTATAGTAGTTTTGTCTGGGATAGGGTAGTTTCTTGTCTAGGATAGGATCCTGTCTCATTTTCTGGGGTAGTGTGGAGTTTTGCCTGTGATCGTATCTGCTAGGCCACGCTTTCAGCGCTTAAATAACGTACTTTTGTACCTAGTCTGCATGGGGTAGGGCCATGTAAAATCACAATAATTGGTCTGGGATAGGGTAAGGGTTTTGAGGGTCGTGCGGCACGCCCCCACCCAAGTTGCTGAGTGAGTAACCCCCATCCGGGCAAAATCAAAACGTACCGTGTTCAAGTTCGTATGTAAAAAAAAAATATCGCGCAAAGGGCATGGAAACACGTGGTCCTTCAAGCTTAGAACGATATCGACGATAAGGTGTATTTTGCACTGAGCCAATCAAAACACGGACGTGGTCAAAAGAATGTTCTGCATCGCTTCGTTGTTTTATGCTCCGTTGGTGAACTTAAAATGTGCAGTATCCACATTATTTGGAAAACTGCATACATATTCAAAATCGACCATCGTTGATAAAGGTGTATAAAAAAAAGTAACGTTTGTTTACATCGGGAAACTGATGCTAAATGGAAATTTTGGATACATTTACGTTCTTTCCGTAAGTAGAACTTCAATCAATGTATTGTAAGTGAGTTATATCCTCCTATTTCAAAAAAGGTTGTCGGATAAAATGACGAATGTAAATTGTCGAACGGTGATTGCACGACCGAAAGTACTGCCATGGGTTTTGCTAATTGATGAGAAATAACAACTAGTGTCTGGTAAACATTGGCTCCATTTATCACCATTTCTCCGGGGGCGTGGGGGGTACTTCCCCCAACTTAATTTGTTGGGGTTGTGCCGCTGGGACATTAAAACCCTGACCCAGTGTTCCGGGGTGAAATAGCGGAAAACTATAAACTGTTCCAGAGTAAAATCCAGAGCGAATAATATAGGGGAGTACCCCCCGGTCCATTTCTATGCAAGTTGAAAATTGAATAAGTGAAACTTTATTTCTTAAAACAGTTTAACCAAAGTCCCTTTCGGTCGTGCAATCTCTTATCGTTGATCGTCGTTCGCCGTTCTCCCCGACAACGTTTTTTGAAGTACGTGTATATGTCAAATTGTATGTCCTGTATCAAAGATTGCTCGTACATTATACAGTCGCTATGATCCGACGGGGTCTGAGACCCTCGGGCAACCATGTAAAGCAAAGAATGTTGACTTCTCAATAGGGCTATCAACTTTCCGCGCTTTTTGAATAATTAGAATAATTCTCCCGGCATTTCCCGCAGTGACCAGGTAACTTCGTTCTGTCAGTTGAAAATACATAATGTATGTTAATATACTATTAAAAAAAAGACAAAGCGATATTGTCATGGATTCACCAAGCGACATTGATTGAAAAATTTGATTTTAATAATTTGGGTGGTTAAAAATGATTAATAACCAAAAAAAATAACCCAAAAAAAAAAAATAACCAAAAAAAAAAATAATAATAATAATAAAGTCCCTGAAAGAACGAAAGAACTGAAGGAACAACGTTATAAATGCATTTTATAATACATTATCAAGTTGTTATTATTCAGCATTCTTACGAAAACTTTTAAACGTTCTATATGCAAATTACTCGGGATTTGACTTTGCTGTATATCAAAAATGTAAGCGATGGTCTGAGAGATTCTAACAGACAGAAGCACGTATGGTTCGGTATTTACCTATTTAATTCCTTGACCAATTCAGAAGATTCTTCTTTTGACAAGTTATAATGCACAACAATATTGAAGCCACATCGATGAAAGCAGCGTGCTATGGCAGCACCGATTCGTCTCGAGGCACCAGTGATCAAAGCGACACGCTGTACTACTTCACTTGGCTTAGCAGCTGAAAAAGGTTGGTTTTCTGACATATTATGTCGTTATTGGTGAGGATTTTGGTGTTTGTATATAGCCAGTTACGATGAACCCGATAGTTAGTTGAGTTTTATAGTCGAACCACAGGAAGTGAACTTATTATCAAAGGATACACAGGTATCCCAACGAAATATATGTATTTTCTAACGGTATGTAATGAATACAAGCGTGTTGTTGTCACAAGGTGGAATACTCTTGGGAATAGTAGCCTGAAGTATATAAGTGAAATCAGTTAGTGTGAACCATCGAAGGTATCCTTAAAAATTCTAGTACGTAAAGTTTAAAGTAAATCTATAGGTCAGTGGTGATCGCAAGCCATCATGCGATTCCTCGGAAGATAACATACTTATAAATCTTATGGATTAGGCTCATTAGGAGTGACATGAATAGCAGACAAAGACAACTTGAATAGCTTTTGTTTCAGAAAGCCGTCAGGGAATTCATGTATTCAAAATTATGAAAACTGAAAACCTTAGTGGAGATGCAATAAATCAATATATTTCTGTTATATGTATTTCCTTCGCTTTTTTACCCCTCCCGAATAATTAATGAGTATGAGAAGTCGTTCAAAGTCGGACTGGACGGGATTTCATGTCCGCGCAATTAGTCCTCCAGAGTCTCTCACGCATTGACATCCGCTGGACGGCAAAAGTGTGGGCTCTGGGTACGAGATTGGAGAATCGACAGTCAAATAAAGCAGCGGTCACTTGATTGGACCTTGAAGGGGAAGCAGGCATATTGATAAATATAAATCAGGTGATTTCTATAACAATTTAATTCACTTTATCTGGACTATCTGTAAGAAATAGTATTATTTACATTAATGAATACCCTATTCCTTTTGCTAACGCTAGACAACTCTCAAAAAACCTTACCAAACATTCAACTTTTAAGACTAATTGCCAAGAAAAACTGAACGCATCAAACCCTTGCACAGAGTAAAAATCGCTAACACAACAATCCATCCGCTTTTTCGAGACTGTTTGAGAAACAGATCTTTAATTATTTTACAAAATACTAAACAGCCTCCATTTTGAATTCCACAATGCACTCCAGAAACGCTGGAATTTTTTCTTTCTGTTATGTTTATAGAATTGCATTCCAAAAATACTTTCTCTTATAACCATATTTTATTTATATATCTATAGGACTATACTTGAAAATCAATGTTTCATGTACGACTGACAAGGTAAAATTGATAAATGTACCGTATTCCCGAAGCTGTACATGAACAGTCGATAACAAGATTTCCTAGTGCAAGCCGATATTGACTATTCTTAAGATTCCAGTACAGGAGCGAGTAGCCGCGTTCCTAGGATAGGAAACAACAGATTAAACAATCAATATATACATAGATTCGAGGCTAAGTCCGCTTGGAAGTTTGAGAAGAGTCAATATTGTGGAAATCTCCAATTCAAAATGGCTGCCGTATTTGAAAAAAAGTCTCTGTTCACAGTCTAGCTAACTGAGTGTTGCACTGACAATAGACCTCTGAAGCTTTTTACATCATGCACCGTGTACGCAATGCATTGTAGGAAATGTTTGGGACAGAAAATGGCGGATTTCTTTTGTTTTCTCTAGAAACTAATCCCACAATGCATTGAAAAGCCAGTAGTGACGTAAAAGGTTCAGAAGTCTATTGTGTATCAATGAAAAGCAATTTTACTCGGCTGTTCAAAGTGCAGTTGAGTACAACATGGTAGTAAAAATGGGAAACAATAAAACGATATTAAAACGAAACAAATTGGAATGTCGTGGGGTAAAAAAATCCGAAACGGAATAAAATCTAATTGAGGAATAGAAGCGTGACAGCTGTACAACCGTTTCAATAATGTTGCTGCAGTAACGATTTTGATGACTAACTGAACAAAGGAGAATTGCTAGCTAAACATTACGAAAACAGGTTGAAATACACCCTGATTCTCATGATCCGAACCACAATACACCTGCGTAGTACGTCTTTGACAGCATTTTTAAAACGGCTGTAAAATAATTTACTTTTCTATTTACGTTTTAAATCGACCCTGATCCCACAAGTCATAGTTTTCACTCATTTGTCAGCCAGAGGCCCATTGGCACCCGGCACCCGACTGAAAAGGCACAACAAGTGGCGATCTGAACTATTTATGGAACTGAGTGCAACAAAGTTCACATGAAAGATTTTGCCCTTCACTCACGTTAGAAAACTCTAATTCTGTTTTAGTTTCTACTACTATCGGACGTAACGGTTATCCATGCCAAATATGGACGTTCTCTTTCATTTTAACGGGACTTAAACCATAGGCAACAATCTGACAAACATGTCGTGTCATATCTTAAAAGGTGAAGCTGTAACGCAACGACTTTGATAGAAATTTTTTGCCTTTTGTGGCTGTACGATTTACACTTTAACAGGTATTAGGAAACAAGAAACAACGACGTGTTAAAGCAACAATCGTAAAAAAATACAGATAAAACTTAAAATTTGATCACTTATCGTCAAGGTACGTGTCACGCCAGAAATAATGCAATCAAATGTCATGGAAGATGATAGTTAGTCACAAAAGTGATGTCACGTAATTGCAAGTATTTCCTTACACTTCGACGTAATAATACACGACGTCACTATTATGCAACGATAAGCTATGGTATGTCACGCGTGACACCTTATGTTATATATATCGCGCGTATCATTACACATGACGTCGCGCTGCCGTACGATATGGCGATCATCACCTCCTGTAAACACCGTAACGTCACGTCATGTCACGTGTCACGCAATGAACCTTTATCAACGACTGGAAATCTGCTACCTGTTGTATATGTATCGAAAATGTACATAGTTTTACCGTCGCCATCTTTCTCTCCATCTTGAATCGTCGCGTCTGTCACCTCTACGTTCCCCTCTCCGGTCATCCCGGTGATAGGGGTGGTACCTTCCCCGGCCAGCGTGTGCACCCCGGTAGTCTCCTTGATATCTTTCATCTGATACCCRCCGTTGTGGTGGACCACGATTATCCCTAGGGTGATCCCTCCATCGGTCATCGTGTGGTGGTCCGTGGTCCCTTGGACCGTCTTTAGATTGGCGGCGTTCACGCCATTCGAGACGTTCCCTGTCAATACGTTGTCTGTCTGTCTCGGTTGTATTGGTACTACCATGACTGTCGACAGGTCTTCTCTCTTCTCCCGGAGGACGTCGGTATGCTTCAGCACTCCCCCTGTGGTGATCCTCCCTTGTGTCTCTCATGACTGTTGTAGGTGCACCTAGTTGAAGCAAGGAGAATAGGTTATATCCATCTAACACTTAGTCAGTCAGTCAATCAATCAGTCAGTCAATCAATCAATCAATCAATCAATCAATCAATCAAACTAATCAGCCAATTAATCAATTAACCAACCAAACGGTCAATCAATCAATCAATCAATCAATCAATTAGCCAATTAATCAAACTAATCAGTCAATTTATCAATTAACCAACCAAACGGTCAATCAATCAATCAATCAATCAATTAGCCAATTAATCAAACTAATCAGTCAATTAATAAATCAATCAATCCATCCATCAATCAATCAATCAATTAGCCAATTAATAAAACTAATCAGTCAATTAATCAATTAACCAACCAAACGGTCAATCAATCAACATTTCAATCAAGCAACCACTAAAACTATCTACTTTCTAATTGTCCAATCAAAGAAAGAATCATTTCATTGCAGAAAGTGCTCGCATTTAATCCGTGAAAACGTACAAGATATGTCCTTGTTTTGTGACTAATAGTACAAGCACTGGGGTGAACACATGACTTTAATCACCAGGAACGTTGCAAATTAGAATAGCACGACCACATATAATCATACATTTAGTTAATACTAAAACCATATTCTGAGCAAAGAGTTAGTCACTATTTCACGGATTAAGTATGTGCACTCTATAACCAATATGAATAAAAGTATTCAACATACTTGTGGCTGTCGGAACTTTATGTGTGGGTGGTTGGTTAGTGTTAACTGATTGCGTGCTATTTGCTTGCTGAAGTAGCTTCACGATGCCTGCCAGGTCTGTGGTTGGTATTGACAACTTAGGAAGCTGACTACTTGTAACCAAAGGCTGTGATGAAGACGAGCTGGTCGCGGTGCCAACAGTGCTGGAGAGCGGCATGAAAATAGACGGTGGAAGAGATGGCACCGTTAAAGCTGGTGTCGACGACGATACTGTATTTAACGAAGACGTCTTAATTGGTTGAGAAGAAGCCGTGGCTTCACTAGTTGAAGTAGCCCCAGTTTCTTTCTCAGATTTAGTGGAAGTGGACTCCTGTGTGGAGCTTACATCTGATGATTTTAGAGGAGTTTTTGATGATTTCTTGTCGTCTATGGGTTTTTCTAACTCGAGGTCGAGGTCGAAGTCTTCTTCGGGATCGTAGGGTTTGTCTTCGTCTTCTGGTTTTGTTTCTTCGGTTTTAGTTTCCCCTTCTGTGTCTTTTTGTTGTACTTTTTGTTTTGCTTTAAGAGCTGTTAGATAATCAATGCATCAGTTCATCAATTACAGCAGAAACCGTTGCATCGCGACTTCGATGTTCAAAGAAAATGGTTGGGATTTAGGTTTTTCAGCGACTTGGGGTCGGAGCTTGATACTAATCAACCAATGACTTGAACGAGTTTTCGAAAAGCTCCACCCCTCAGATTGAAAGAAAGAACAAAATCCAGACAAACTTCAAAACAAAGAGGTCGCGATGCAACGATTTCCGCTGTAATGTATCGATTATAATGAAATACATCGACCTTTAATGCCAATATGTCTGCCATCTTGAGATCTACTCAGTGTTCGTGCAACATATTTTCACTAGAAAATTCCAGGACCTTTCAAGTACATTTTATGCACGCCAAAAATGTGATTTTCAAGGACTATTTTTTGATATTTGTGAATGTTTCAGCTGAACCCAAAGGTTATGTTAGTTTCGATAATATCACCTTTTTGCGACACAAGATTTTTCAGTCAAGAGAATGAGACAATCAATACTAACCTGAAGCGATGTATTGTTTGGCTCGATCAGCCAAATCCTGTAGCTCCTCTTTGTGCGATTGCTGTTTCTTCTCTACAGAAGTCTCTGATACATTAGAAGTTGTAGCTGACGGCGAGCTAAGTGTACTCGAATGATCTGACGATCCTGAAGAAGGCGACACAGCAGGCTTATTCTCCACTGACGACCTCTTGTTATAGAACACAATATCTTCAATTTCACGAGGTGGAGAATCCTTCTGTTGGCTTTCTTCGCTGCTTCGGCTGCTGCCATGACGGCGTTTGGGAGTTGGGGAGGAGCCTGAGCGATGGTGAACAGGGCGTGGTCGTTTAAAATGGGCTTTGGTGCGGACGATTACGCCTAATAGCATGTGAGGTCGAGGTTCTTCAAGACCTATTAATAGTAAGGATGTTTAGTTGTTTGGACGTCAATATAAATCTTACTAAGACTATCACTGTTATATGGTGGGAACTAGCGGTAAACTAGTGTGAGCTGCGTCGGTGTTTCTAAAGAAACAGTTGTGTAAAAAGATAAATTTAACACCGTAAAAAAGTATGTGAAATAACTTACTGACGTTTCGGACGTTAATCCTTCGTCGGAGTAAAAGTGGACAACAACTACTTCTCTTTTACTCCGATGAAGGATTAACGTCCGAAACGTCAGTAAGTTATTTCACATACTTTTTTTACGGTGATAAATTTATCTTTTTACACAGCTATAACTATCATAAGCCGGTGTGAACGTCAATCAAAAAGAAGTTGTTTTCTTTTTCTTTTTTTTAGAAACGACACAACTACTTCTCTTTCTGCAGAGAAAAACGCAAAAACATCCTGTTTAAAGTGCTTATGAAGCGAATTTTTTATTTCGAAAATAAATCAATATGAAGAGAATAATAGTTCTGCAAGTGCCACTGGATGCAGGCTTCAAATTTCAGAGAAAATGGATTTAAAAAGAWAAGAACTATACCTGGTCCATCAAATGGTAGCAGTTCTGACGGTATGGCAGCATGAGAGGCGAGTGGCACGAGGTACATATCTTTGACCCCTGTATAACAGTTACTAACAACACCACAGCGCTTACGACTGTAGAAGTACGAGTACAGAGACACATAACTTGTTTTCTCGTCGTCTGATGAAACCTCGTAACGGACTATTGATACATCCTGTGGGCAAGAAACCATAAAATGACAAATATGCCTTTATTTATTTATGTAATCAAGATCATAATGGCTGTTGTGGCTCAGTGTTTGTAGTACATTTTTATGATAAAATTCCAGGGCCGGGCTTTTCAAAGCCCGACATTGAGAATTAACGAAGGATTAGCGCTTATAGTTTGAATTGGGTGGAGACGTTTATAGCAACGCGTTAGCCGATTAGGTCGATTGGGCTTTGAGCAACGCAGCCCGGAAATTCAAGAAATTTTTAAGCATAAAAATTAGATTACAAAATTAAATAGCCCACACACACAAAAAAAAAAACAAACAAACATCAATTAAGATCAAATTGTTCTGTAATGACTTTCATGACTTTTATCAACTTACCCTAGTTGTTGAGTGCCGTAGCTGTTCTATATAGCCCCATACTTGTTTAAATCCAATTCGTCCTTGAAGATGAAGTGTGTCTGGTAGTAAGTGCAGAAGGTCGTCACATGGACCAGACACTTTATAAGCATTGGTACTGAATTTAGAAACACTCTGCATCATGACGTAACCYTTCCAAACTGGCTTGTCTCGTTTAACCGGTTTTGCAGGAGTAGGAGGCGAAACTGAGGCTACATCATATGAATCTGTTGAGCTGTAAAGAAATGAATAATATTCAGTGATGCTGAAGGTGAATATGTAAGCAAGTAAAAGACCGACCGACCAATCAACTAACCAACCAACCATTTAATCAAAATGTTGGAAAGTAACGGTAAACTAGTGTGAGCTGCATCGGTGTTTCTAAAGAAACAGTTGTGTAAAAAGATAAATTTAACACCGTAAAAAAGTAGGTGAAATAACTTACTGACGTTTTTCGTTTATTAACGTCCGAAACGTCAGTAAGTTATTTCACATTACTTTTTACGGGGTTAAATTTATCTTTTTACACAACCATTTTATCAAACAATCACACAAGCAAGCCAGCCGGCCAGCAAATCTATCAATCAGGCAGGCAGGCGGGCAAGGTAATTTACCAGCAAAAGACATAAGAGATATTTTGGCATTACCTGACTGAAGTAATATCTACACTCACTGGAGGAGGAGAGGGCACTGAGCTTTCTGCGAGGGCCTGGATCCTATACAAAACAAGTAATGGTTAATAACTCATAAACATACTTTTGTCTTTAACTGTGCCAGCTTCACCTTTTTGTGATAACATTTTGGGGTTACTTACGGAGTAGTTGTGGATACAAGCATCAGCATGTCTTCTTGTCGAGGGGGTTCCCCAGGGGGTTGCATTTTGCCAGTACAAATACGACAGTTAAGATCAAACAAGTGGATGCGATGCTGGTCCGTTGTGTCAATCAGTAGGGGACCAGGAGAGGTATTACTGTCTGGTTCTGCTACTTCTGAATTTTCTTTGTCTTTAGAGGGAGTTCGCGACTAAACAACAAAATATTCTGGTCACTCAATAAAATCCAGAGATTCATTCAAGGCAATACTCATTGATTCGACGCAGGTCAGTAGGTGTCTGCAATGTGTAGGTATTTATGTAGAGCGGATTTCGTATGAGTGGGAAACGGACGGTACTGTACTGTAACCGTAATCGTACTGTAACCAAATTCTAGTGCCCCATTGGTTCACCAAAATTGTGAAGGCCAGGTCCGGTAACTGTGCGGTAACCGTGCGGTAACGGTGTCCCACTCATACGAAATCCGCTCTAATTACTGTTTGAATGTAGTGTTTAGTACTGTGGGAYGTTCCTATACCTCTGACCCGGTCATGCTCAGATGTGCCCCTGTAAAATAGGTTGTTTCCGAAATGCTGTCGCGCAGGAATTTTCAGACAACGTCTTAAAGTTACCCGACATTTTTTTCACGAAAATACCTTGTTTTCAATAAGCTATATTTTAATACTTTTGAAAGCATTTGCGCATCTATGACACCGCCTATTCAGCACTTGTGCAGCGAGTAAGGCTGATGCGCCGGTCCAACTTTACAATCATATTTAAGTTGCATTACCTCRAGAGAACTTAAGTCTTCGTCCTCATCCAATTCAATTTCTCCCTGAGCAGAAGAAATAGAAGATACGATGAATGTGATCCAATATTACTCAAAACAACTTAAAAACATTCAACTTGATTACAAGTATGGTTTCAAATCATTCCCGCATAAGTCCTTAAACGTTTGCTACCACTCAGAATGAGATGCAACTAACACAGGAAGCCCGGAATTATTTTTTATCTCGTACCTTGTGTGTTTTCTTGATGTGTCCCTTTGAGGCATTGATATCAAGTTGGTTTTGTTTAATCATTTCAATGGTCTGCAATGATAAACCAAAATATAAAGGCATCATATCTACATGTAAATTACGCATCCAGTCGTTTAAATAGTTAAATTTGATCTTCATCGATCAGGTTTTATTGTAAAGCAAGCATCGAGGAACGATCGAAACGTCTTGCTTCCGTTTCAATTGCTTCCAGTATTTGATTGATCACATTTAAATGAAAAAAACATCATCATCATTATCATTTTCATTATCATCATCATTATCGTCATCACCATCTTCATCATCGTCGTCATCAAAGATTACAAAATGCTTTGGCCATGCGTGGACAACGCTCAGTCCTTAGACCATAACATTTTTTGATACATGTACACTATTTTCTACTTACATGTTTGGTCTCCCTTTCTCTCCATCTTGCCAGTTCTTGACTAGCCAGTTGTTCAGCTGTCATGCCAACAAGCTTATCAGTTGGTACTTCTCCACTCAACACATGGTGGAATAAAACCTGAAATAATGTGACAGTGATGAGTAAAGAAAGTGATTGATTGACAGGTCACATGATCAAGGTGTGCATCACAGTGAGGGCAAATGTAGCTCTGATTGTATTGAGAATAACTTAGACTTGCGCACTACCTTATTTCTGAAATCTTTCAAATTGAAAGCAAGACTGCGATACTTGCTCTTGTAGCGAGGCCCTGCCTCACCAAACAGTTTGTAAAGGTCTTCTTCAATGTTGATAGAGAATCTAGAGATGTCTTCTGGACTCAGCTTGAGCTCTGGTACTTCTTTTAGCCTTTTGAAAAGGAAACAATGTAATGCATTCATGAAAGGTGATATCTTTTATATGTTAAAATAACATGCTACCATGGATATTCCTTACAAAAGTATCCTATTTCTTGACTCACCAATATAAATTTGAAAATAAACGCTTCATTACACTAACTAGTCAGATATCAATGGAACATTCAAATATAAATCTGTATCTCTAGTGCCCATGTACTATCCTCTATAACTATTTATAAAGAGCTACCCTTTCTGGCCATAACAGATAGATGCTGTTGTTATTGGCAGAAATGTTTTGACATTAAAAATAATGTTTTGACAAAAAATTCTAAAATATTTAGGATACTACGCGCGCTGTGATTGGTCGAAAACCATGTTTGATTACAGTATCAAAACACGCTCGCGCGCGTCAAAAATTTCTACGCTTCTCTCGTGCTCTCGCTACATCCCGCGTGTTTTGATCAGAGTATCAAACACGGAATTTCGTCTTTTATTTCTTAAATGCAAAACATTATTATTTATTACGAAGTATTACAACTTTGTTTTTTGAATCATGCGTGTAAATACATCTATTACTTTTGACGAGAAAACCCTCAGAGCTGATACCTGCTTGACAAGATGTCTTTCAGAGTTCTTTTCACATTATCTCTGATGGCTTTTTCTTCTTCCTTTTTATCTTTCTTTCGAACTTCTTTACTCACTAAAAAACATAAAAGCAAACACCATGCAATATCAATTATGATCATATAAGTTTGTTTTTGGAAAATAACTAAAATTCATTATAATCATGCAAGCAACTTCTGCATTTTTATAAATAACTATTCCATCACTAGTCAAGAAAAAACAAGTTTGTTTTAATAGTTCTGATCTTCTTCTGCTGGTGCTGACCTGATGGTTTGATGACTTCAAATGTGGGATGCCTGTGTAACCAYTGTACTAAATCCTGTTCAGCAGGAGCTGCAACGCCAGCTATAACACGACCTGTTGATCTTTCAATCACTGCAACTCTTTCTTTGACTTGAGGAGAGGTGGGAGTCTTAGCCTGCTGTGATTCCCAAGGCATTGGTACATTAATACCAGACTGTGGAGCAAAAAACAATATTTAATATCTGCTTGTTTAACCTAAGAAGAACTACTAAGTTTTTTAAAGATATTCCATACACAGGGCCAGTGACCACGAACAAAGCATTGAATCAAGGCGTCAAGGTATAGTGAACATAAAGATCTGTGATCATTTTTCCTTGACGCTTGATTCAATGCTTTGGTTGTGGTCACTGGACCTGTGTATGAAAAGTCGTGAGTGTAGGTTTGTCACAGTGTGTAATTCATTTGAGATTTGAAACAGCTCTTCTTTTGCTTTGCATAAGAGTTTTTCTCCAGGTGCTGTACTCTTGTCTCCCTTCTTCTCTGAATTTTTAAAGTCACCTGCAAGTGTGCCGTTTGGACTGTACAAGCATAGCTAGAGCATTCAACTTACAACATGATTTTATTATACACTGTACATGCAGTTCTTTATTTTTCAGGTATAAATTTGACGAGTGAAAAATTGAGACAAGCCGTTTCAATTATGTACGTGTCACAGTTCGTGTAGGTAAAACTTTCAAAATTTATAAGAACAAGTAAACAACATCAATGATAGCTCGCACTTATTTGTTGTTTTTGTAAGCGCTCGAGGATAATGTTGTTAACGCCATATCGTGCGTGGAATTGTAACGATTTTAGTGTTGACTCCATTAACCCTGATGATGAGCCTAAGGCCCGAAAGCTTGGTAATAAAATAACTTATTGGTTGATGAAGCAAGATCAATGATATAACAACAATGTAAATTATAGCTTACACTGTGTGATGTTGTAGGTTTATGGGAACTGACAGATCTCTTTTTTCTTTCTTCATGAAGAAGGTTAATGGCTTCTTGAGCATGTCTGAAATAAAGATAACACCTTGAAAACAATTTTATATCAAAAAAGCTAGTAAGATAAAGTTTATTAATGGGAATACAATCTTTAATGGCTATTCATCATAAGACTGTCCATGTTGCCAGATCAAATTACAATTTATTTCCTTTTCCGCATTCTTACTTTGTTATGCATTTATCGCTGCAGTATACAGAATGAGTCTCTGCAGTGTTGTCGCAGCCAGAGTTGATACACTTCCTTTGAGCCCGGCTTGAAAAAGATGCAGGGGTTGGTGTTGTACGCACCTGGTAGAGTAAAATATCAAACAAATAAAGTTATTGGTTTACAAAAAGAATTTACAAACTATTGCTAACGGTAGCATTCAATGATAATGGCTTTAAATGAGTATAGATTTTATAGTTACAAGAGTGTTAGTTAACCCTTTAATACGCAAATTTCGGGGGAATTTTTAACTGATTTAAAGATGAAAGGCTTAAAAAAACGATTTCAGCACTGATTTCACGGTTGTCAAGGGAACTGATGCTGATTTACATAGCCAAACATTCAAACTCTCGAGGGATGCCTGCTAAGTTTTTGCTTGTGTCTTTGAATAGCGAACAGCTCGTTCAAAACACAGAAAAACTTGGTTTTTAAGTGTTTTTTAAAGTCATACTCAAGCACAAGAGCCCCTAGACTTGCATTATTAAGCTTGGCTAGTCGGCAGAGGCGCTCTTCTGGAAGAAATCAGAGGTGGGAAGCGATTTTGCGAAGAAAATGGCGATCGTCAGTTGGTTTAAAGCCGATGGCGCCATTGGAGTGAAATCGACTCCCTGGCTGTCTTGTGTTTGATTTTGCGACCTACCATGCAAATTTCGGCAAGTTTGGACTTCCAAAAAAAGCAATCGGCTCAATATTTTGTGGGTAGGACCGCATGACTTGGCACTTCAAAAAAATATTAAAAATGCAGAGTACGGGTTAGTTCTTGTCGAAAAAATACGCAATTACCCATAAATCTGTGCGAGTGTGACCCAAGAAAACATGTAAGTCGGGGAGTGGACCTAAAGAAAGGAGCGTTTTCTCGGCTTACTGAATAAAACAATAGACAATAAACTGACCAATGTTAAGTCAATGTGTCAAACGTCTTGAAAAAGTTGAGTTTCGGCATGAATGTAAGGATTTTGAGCAGTAGAACTGGCAAGAATTCAAGCCATTCTCTAGTGTCCATGTCTAAATTGTAAGCGTGCGCAGCTCAGATCTCACCAAAAGAAAAGTGACTGTAATGGTCACGAAAAAGAAGCAGAAGTCTTAGTTTAGAATGTAGCAGCCAGGTAATGTCCTAAACAACACACTCAAGACATTGCTACCACCTTGGTCACTTAACTGAGAAAAGGGAATTTTTTAAAAGAGAGTGGTCGATTAGCGGACGAATTCGTCCGCATGCCTGTTAAAGGGTTAAACAAAAAATACTTTTTCCCACTGTATTGATTATTTTATTTCAAACTTATCTGAAAAAGTTTCTCTAAATAAGAATAGTCCCAATTGGCAACTTTTTAGCCAAAACCCATGAGGCCGCACGCAGTTATAGAGGAGGTACTCGCAATATCCAACGTTTGGAGCCTTTATAGCAAAACGCGCAAAGTCCAAGGTATGGGCGTGGTGAACAAGATCTGCACGCATAGCTAGAAAGCTATAACTACTGGAGCACTGCAACATGTCAGTACAGATTTCAGTTAAGGTCTCAGTTCTGATTGCAGGAGGCCAGTCACGTGACTAGACCTTGTCTAAAACCCTAACCCTATCTCTAACCCTGCGTTACACCTAAAGCCAAACCCTAGCCCTAAGCCTAANATCTGGCAACATGGACTGTTGCCAGAAAATGCAGTTTTACTTTTTGCAATATTATATTATAGCCAGTTATAGTGCCTATACGATCTAATCAGCTAATACATTAAAACTTTCAACCCAATTCAACAAAGTGGGAGTAAGTTTCATTGTTCATTGTATTTTCGCAGCTGAATTCATAGCAACAAAAGTTGCTAAAAACAAAAGTTTTTCGGACAGGAATTGAATTGGGTGGTAACATGTACACGGCAACGGTTAGCCAATAGCCTACTTGCGAATTACGCATCAATAGTCACATACAAAGGAATCAAGACGAGGCGCCGTGCTTTTTTGTGAAAAATCTATTGTCTTTAGCACGGCGCCTCGTCTTGATTCCTTTGTATGTGACTATTGATGCGTAATTCGCAAGTAGGCTATTGGCTAACCGTTGCCGTGTACATGTTACCACCCAATTCAATTCCTGTCCGAAAAACTTTTGTTTTTAGCAACTTTTGTTGCTATGAATTCAGCTGCGAAAATACAATGAACAATGAAACTTACTCCCACTTTGTTGAATTGGGTTGAAAGTTTTAATGTATTAGCTGATTAGATCGTATAGGCACTATAACTGGCTATAATATAATATTGCAAAAAGTAAAACTGCATTTTCTGGCAACAGTCCATGTTGCCAGATCAAATTGAAAATAATACACTTCCTTTTCTGCATTCTTACTTTGTTATGCATTTATCGCTGCAGTATACAGAATGAGTTTCTGCAGTGTTGTCACAGCCAGAGTTGATACACTTCCTTTGAGCTCGACTTGAAAACGATGCAGGGGTTGGTGTTGTACGCACCTGGTAGAGTAACATATCAAATAAAGTTATTGGTTTACAAAAAGAATCTACAGACTATTGCTAACGGTAGCATTCAATGATAATGATTTTAAATGTCAAATAAGATTATAAAGCTACAAGAGTATTAGTGCTTCAAGCCTTAAGATATTATGATTTAGCAATAACTGCTATCCATACCTTCTTTGGTATTTTGTAGAATGATGATGTATCAATACTCTTTCTCTTGCTTTCACTGGTTTCTTTGTCCTTTTCTTCCTTGGGCTTCTTGTCATGACCTTCCCGTTTGCTTTTCTTGGTCTAGAGTAAACAAAGCGAATAAAAAGTGTCAGTTGCCAATCTTCATTTGCAATATTCTTCGTTTTCACTATACGTCACAGCAGCCATCTTGGTTGAAATTTAACAAAGGATTTCTCATTAGTATCTATTGTTCATTCCTCCAACATGGCCGCCAGTCTTTTATATTTTGAATCTCATGGGAATGGTTGAAAACGATCAATAGAGAGAGTCACCCTGTGACATCATTACAATGCCAGACCCGAGGAGCGCCTGGGGACTAGGCTGGTAATATTGTGGTACCTTTGTGGTGGAGTCAGCTGAGTGTCGGTGATATTTCTCTCCTGGGATTTTGAGTCTTCTGTGTCTTCTCTTTTTTGGGTTGTTTCACTAGCTGGCTTGTCTTTATTTGGGTCAATTCCTTGTTCTTTAAGCTTTTTCTTAGCTGAAAAGGATGCGCAATTCAATATTTTTTTTCTGTATGAGTAATACATAAACTTTTTTCTACACTTGTGTGAATTCTCGCACACTGATTGGCTGCTTAGTGTGTGTAAATAAAAGGACATATACAGAAAGTGCTGACCACTTCACGTCCCAAATGTGTGCGCAGTTGAAAGAAAAGAATGATTCATACCATTTTTTAGACTAAAGATGCTCATTGCTTTTGTTGTATGTAATCTTTTGACACTCTTTAAGTTTTAAAATGTTCAAAACTTTCCAGTTAACCCAATCACTCTGCTAGGGTCAGGTTTATTTCTTACTACATTTTATGATGTCATAAGAGGACATACTGTACAAAAGTGTGTACATACCTATCACACATCGTGGGCAGATGTATTCAATCCCATTTTTCTCCATTTCTTTGCCAATTTCTTTGGTGATGGACACACAGTCACCATGTAACCATTCTTCACAGGAATCACAGCAAATCATAAACCTAAACAAAAGACAAAACAATAGTTCATAAAGATGTAGGCACTTGGACAAAACACAACAACCTACAGCTCATAGGCAGACAAGGATGGTAGTCAAAGTCTAGTTCAGGGAGTCAAAACACCTCTAATTTTTAAAAATTTAAACAGGACATAATTATACTGGATCAGGCATTGATGTGGACTCAGATGACCAACCCCTTTCAGCATAAATTGAGGGTCCTGAAAACAACTTATGGGATTCCTGTGGTAAGTCCAATTTCCAATATAGCAGTACCAGTATTACCGTGGAAAAAACATCATCATTCATGATTTAATAAATAATAAGAATTCCACACCAAGGGCGCTAGAACTGAAATTATGACCTATAAGATCCAAAAATTGCTTAATTTATCCAACAAAAGATAGYCGATAATAAAKTRTAAAGTTYTACTTATCTGAAATATACACTGAAATGTCCTCTTAGACACTAAAAAGCACTTGATTTTACGAAATTCATCCAAATGATCGTTGCTCAAACTCTCAAGCGGTTGTTGCTGAATTTATTACCGCTGTCCTTGCTGTACCAGCCACTGCTGTCTCGCCAGGAACGTTATTCATTAACCGGATTAAAATCACTTTGCCCTGGCCGAACACCAAAAGAGACTGTCTCTTTTGGTGTTCGGCCAGGGCAAAGTGATTTTAATCCAGTTATTGAATAACGTTCCTGGCGAGACAGCAGTGGCTGGTACAACAAGGACAGCGGTAATAAATTTAGCAACAACCGCTTGAGCAACGATCATTTGGATGAATTTCGTAAAATCAAGTGCTTTTTAGTGTCTAAGAGGACATTTCAGTGTATATTTCAGATAAGTAAAACTTTATAATTTATTATCGACTATCTTTTGTTGGATAAATTAAGCAATTTTTGGATCTTATAGGTCATAATTTCAGTTCTAGCGCCCTTGTCCACACGTTATAATCTATATTTTTACTATGTTGTACCTATTTCCATGTGGTTTTCGGCAGATGCACCAAAGTCTCTCAGGGTCGTACTCTGGGTCGTAATCAGAATCATCTTCCTCCATTGCTTCATCATCTGAATCCTTGYCGTCTTCAGATGAAGAAGACTCATGCTTCTCTTCATTCTCCTTGCTTGCTTCATTGTCTGTTGAAAGTCGTTTATGTTTCACTGTTGAGTACACCTCATGGTCGCCACCAACTGCAAAGAGAGTTGTCTCACTCTCAGATTTTGTTCTTTTTCGTTCTTCGGGCTTTTCAGTTGACTGCTTCTTTATTGTATTTTTCTTGGCTTTGTTTTTATTTATTATTGAGTCTGGTTGTTCTTTGGATTTAGCTTCTGGTAGGTTTTCCTCATGATCTTTGCTTTTCTTTTTTTCCTTTGATTTTTCTTCTTTTTCTTTTCTTTTAGTTGTTTTCTTTTTTGGTGACTCCTTCTCCTTGACCTCTTTCTGTTCTTTATCTTCTTTGCTTTCAATTTCATTCTCTTGTGTTTCTTCTTCTTCTTCTCTCTTTTTCTCTTCTTCYTCCTCTTTCTTTTTCCTTTCTTCCTCTTCTCGTTCCAACCKTTCTTGTTCTTCTCTTTCTCGAAACATTTCTTCTTGTGCCTTCTTAACKGCTGCTTCAATTTCTTTCTTCTGGATACTTTCACTTATACGATTGCTTCTCCTMGATGGCTGCAATTCTTTTTTATGTGCACCCTTTCTTTTWGTTTGCTTAACTTCAGKTTTTTTCATTTCATCCTCTGTTTTAGARTCTTCACCATCTGATTTCTTAACCTCRTCAACAGGATTAGGYTCATTATCTSYAGATTYGCYTTCATTTTTTATCAATTCTTCCTTCTTTTCAAAAAYGTCAACAGTATCATCRTGGAAGTGCAGTCTTTCTTTGTCTGGCAGACTGATTTCTTTCTCAATGATCTCTAAAATGTCCTTCTCTACAGTAAGAACATCTGTACCTAGCATCCCCTCCCTAGTGGGGATTAAATTCTCACCTACTGTCCCTATCCCCATGGGRATAAGACCAGAGCCTACTTCTGTGGAAACAACACTTGGATCTACTGTCCCTACTCTTGCTGGGACAATGTTGTCTCCTATATTCCTTAACTCTGAAGGAATAAAATTGGTATTAACTGTCTCTACTGTCCCTTCTCCTGTGGAGACTAAATTGGTATCCACTGTCCCTCCTCCTGTGGGGACTAAATTGGTATCCACTGTCCCTCCTTCTGTGGGGACTAAATTGGTATTCACTGTTCCTCCTTCTGTGGGGACTAAATTGGTATTTACTGTCCCTCCTCCTGTGGGGACTAAATTAGTATCAACTGTCCTTTCTCTTGTTGGGGTTAGATTGGAATCAGCTGACTTCACTCCTGAAGTGACTAATTTTTCACTTTTTGCCTCTTCTCCTGATGGAATTAAATTAGTAGCTACTGACCCTTCACCCGAGGGGACTGGATTATCCACTTCTGCCCCCTCCCCCACAGGGTCTTTGCTTTCAAGGTTTTCTTTCTCAGTTGTATCTGGATGTTCTATTTTGGTTGTAGTTGAGTTTGGCTGATTTTCTTCTTTAACAGAATATTTTTTACAATCTTCATTGAGTTCTTCTTTTTTGGTAGCAGTTTTGGATTTGTTTGAGACATCTTTACTCTCCTTACTTTCAGTTTCAGTGGAGCTTAATTCCTCGTCTTGTTCTTTTTCTGCTTTTGTCTCTAGATTTGGATTTGCTTTATCTTCTAGTTTTCCAACCTGTTCAGCTTCATTCTGGTCTGCCTTTGTATCAGTTTCTTCTGTAAGTACTTTTTTCTTGGCTCCCCTTCCTTTACGTGGAGATTGCAATGTGTGTTTTGCTGGGCTTATGTCATTTTTTTGAATTCTTGAAGACCTATAGAGAGTCAAGTTCAAAAATGGGTTTGAATTCCAATAACGAAGGAGCATGAATGGACGTACATAACTAAAATTGTAACAGCTACAAAGTTTAAAGGCTCCTACAGTATATGATTAACACAAACCAGAGAAAATTTGTATTTTAAGGGCTATTGTGACTACATTTTTTCATGTTTTTTT